AGTCATTTTTGGCCTGGCAAGATGGTTAAAGCACTTGCCACTAAGCCTGATGACCTGGGTTTAATTCCCAGGACCCACACGGTGGAAGGAAAGAATTCATTCCCCCAAGTTGTCCTCTGACACATGTGTGCCATGGTATATGGCACATATGTATGTGCCCACACATACATATATACACACACTATATAAATAAATATGACATTAAAATTTTTAAAGTGTTTTTTAAAATAGATTATGTGCCAATTTAAGAAAAAAAATCTTGAATTTTCAGTTTCTTAAAGTTCTAGAAGTGCAAGGGTGACTACTGACCATGTCTGTTCTATTTTAATTTGCATCACTTATTAGAAAGGTGCTCTCGGGACCACTGCAGGCACACTGCCATCATCTCCAGCAGGGGCTGGCTTTTCTTTGGGTCGCAGCTTCTGAAGGATGCATGCTGCACAACTGTATGCTTCCATTTGTGAGACACAATTTTTATTTCTTTGACATTTTTGAAAAGTCACTTATTGGAGTTTAGCGTTTTTCATAATAGTTTTTTATTTAAATAAGCAATAAATGTCATATATTCTACTTAAATATTTCATATGGTCAAGAAATTATTATCTTCCTCTGAAAGCTCAGAGTCAGGAAGCTAGTCCCCTGGGGTTTGTGCTAGGCTGGGAAGAGGACCAAGGGCAGTGTGGGCACAAAGAGGAGAGCTCAGACCCAGGTAAGAAGGCTTCCTGGAAGGACAATCTTGGCTGTGCTTACATATGTGAATGGCTTGAGATGAAACCACACAAGAGTGGAAAACGTGTTTAGCACCAGGGCAAATGTGTAGAAATCACAAGTGAGAGGTCAGGATTTACTCCTAAATGGTTGTGTTTTAGGGGATGGCAAATAGAGGTGGCAGACTTTGTCTGCTAAGCTAATGCCTGGAATTTTATACTAAAAAAAATAGGAATATGCTGAAGAATCTTAAGAAGGGAGTCAGAAGAGTTCATTGCCAGGGGAGAGGGAGTTTCAGTTAACACTGGAGAGTAGGTCTCATGGAAACACTTTAGTCATTCGTTTAACAGTTGGTCAAGGAAACAACTTTCAAGTAACTAATAGTAGAGACTCTCGATAAGAAAATTTGTTGACGTTCTCTGGCTTTAATGTATGTTTAACCAGCATGGATTAACTTAGTGGCTTTGAACACATAACTGACAAGTAAAGCAATTCACAGCTGGAGTCATTTGCCAGAATTTCTAATAAAGCATTAGGTGTTCTCTGCTAGTAGAGATAGTTCAGTTAATCAATAACTAACTGGCTAAAGCCAAGAAACAAAGTGAAAACTGAAATGTGGTGAGAAAAAATTACAAATAAAATCACTAGGGTAAAGCTAGAGCCTATTTTATTCATTCCTACACTTTGTTGAGGTTTACTGGGGAAACATCCCAAATAAATAATGGAATGATTTTTCAACTATAAACGAAACAAGAATTTGGCAGTTTATCAATGATCTCAATATCCTATTGAAAATGCCAATACCATGGAAGAAATCAGTCAAAGTCAGAAGAATACGGACAATTCTGATGATTTAACAAACAGCTTCACTAATTTAGTATGAGCACATGAATTAGTCTAGCTGTAAAGTATAATCATGTTGAATATGATAAAATTATACTTTAAGCTTATTGCAAAAAAATCTTGTTTCAATAAAAGAAATTACTGAAATGAGACCTAACAGAAACTTCTTTTTCATGAATTGTGAGACAAAATATCAAAAGATAGTATAAGGTAAGTAGTAAAGGTTCTTTTACTTTTCTTTTTCATTTTTTTAGTATTTTTTTTTGTATGAGTATATTGCTTGCAAGTATGTAAGTGCACCCATGTTGTGCAATGCCTTTGGGGGGCAGAAGAGGGAATCAGATCCCCTGGAACTGGAGCTATGGACAGTTGTTAGCTGCCATGTGGGTACTGGGAATTGAATCTGGGTCCTCTGCAAGAGCAGCCAGTGCTCTTAACCACTGAGCCATCTCTGCAGCCCCTCTTTTCCTTTTAGTGCTGCTCTACCTCCCAAGTTGGATAAGCACTAATAAATCTGTCAAACAAAGTTGCAAGAGGCTGAAGAAGAGGGAAATCACTGTGATTCAGAAAGAAATTCCTTAAAATTACACATAGTCAAGTTATAGTCTCCCAAGTGTAGGCAGCTACTACCTGCCCAGATGAAGACTTGACCACTATTAGAGATATGTTCAAAAGCAGAACTTGTAAAACAGTGAAACAAAGAAGAACTATTTTAGTCAATGGTCTGTTCACATATGGAACCTGTTAAGGAGATGGGAACCTTACAAAGAATTGCAAGGGAGTTCAGGAGACACCTAGGCTGCCAGAGGAAAGGGTGGATTCAAAAGCAGAAAAGTGGGCCAGAGATCAATCAAAGGGGATGGAGGCAGGCTGTTGGACAGATGCTCTCTTTTGTTCCCAAATGTTCAAAAGTTAGGGGACACTCCTTAGCACATTTTTATTTGACACAAAGACTGAATTAAAAAGAAACCAGGGGTGTATTATTTTGCTCTGTTTATCCTTTCTTTGATAAACTTTGTCTACATATTTAATTTGCTGCCTTCTTCAGATGAAGTCTCTCCTTTACGACACACAGAGTCCTCCAACTTCGATTCTAAGTGTGAATTATTAAGAGTAAGGCTTCAGTTGATGTTCTACAGTTATCTATGTTACATTATGCCGTCTTCCTCTAAAAGGTTCCAAGGCGGATCCATCTTTCTCTTGAAAAAGTACAATGCTCACTAATTTACCAAATTTAGGGTCAATCTAGGCTGTGGAAATGATAATTAGGTTAGTTTACAGGATTTTCCTGTCTACCTGAAAATTAAAATGATACAAAAGAAATGAAACGACCACTAGCTCTGGAAGGTACAAAAGGGGCTGCAAAATATTATCTTCTGGCATGAAACAGCCATCTTACAGCAGCTGTTGTAGCCTACACTGGTCCTGCACAAGACTGCTTGTCTGTCAGTCATTCAGGCATGCACAGGGAAGAGTTCATGGGACGCTCCACTCCCTTCTGAACTATTGGCTACTGACAGATTCCCTTGGGAGAGACAGCCATTGTCTTCTGTTGGGTATTCAACAGTGAGCCCACTAGGCTCCAATGGACAGTCCCACACCCATGTTACATGCCCTGGTTATAGTCAGTGGATCACAAAACAAAACAAAAAAGACATGAATGTGGAAAAAGGACTTTTAAAGAGGAGAGGGCTGTCAGGGATGGAAGGGAGATAAAAGGGGGGAGTGCAAATAGTAAGACTGCATTACAGCATTATATACATACGAAATTGTCAAAAGGAATTAACTCTATTAAAAATTAATGAACACGGGGCTGGAGAGACAGCTCAGCAGTTAAGAACACTCACTGTTCTTGCAGAAGACCTGGGTTTGAATCCCAGCACCCACATGGCAGCAAACAGCTATCTGTAACTCCAGTTCCAGGAAATCTGACAACCCCTTCTGTCCGGTGCAGGCATTGCATGACACGGGTGCACTTACATACATGGAGGCAATTCATGCATACACATAAATTTAAAAATAAATAAATAATTTTTTTTAAAAAGCAATGGACACAAACAAAAGTGACTGATTTGTTTTCCTAGCACATAACAGGAGAATAGTAACACCTGACAGCTCAACCTCACCTGTGTGTGGATTGCACAGGGAAGATATTTTCCCTAAGTTATATCTTTTGAGCTCCAGATAGTTGCCAGAAAAAGGCCAATACTCAAGCCAGCTTGCAGGTATGAGTAATGGTCTTTATTCTAGACATGATGGGAAATCAAAAGCAGAGAGGAGGGAAATACCCTGTCCTTTAAGAGATGAACTACTAAGGCCTATTGTGTCAAGTTAGCACCCCCAGACATTGCTCAGTGCAAGTTCATTTACTGAAGACTATTCAGCTTAGAGTCCCTTGCTTTAGGAAGATCAGTCCTTCCTCACCTAGCAGTAATCAGTTGCCAATATTTCTCCACCTAAGATTGGGATCTGCTGATCATTTCCTTTATGAATTCCAGTGGGGGGATGCCAGTGGGGATGGGGGTATAAAGATGATTAAGATTGATTGAGATGTTCTGTATGAAATACACAAAAATTCAATAAAAACAATTTTTTAAAAGGATGAAATGCCAATGTAGGGACCAGAATAAATATCTAGGACCACACATATATGCCACGAATGAAGGCATAATCCATAAGTAATGACAGACTAGAGACAGATCAGGACTTGGTTCAGTGAGGTCAGTGTATAGTAAAGGACAAACTTTTCATGTGCTCTAAAGGGACAAATGAAGCTGTTTTAGGCTTGTGCCAACATATACAGGAAGCCGGCCACCTTGAGATATGGGGTGGCCCAGATCTGCCAGACATAAATAGCACCAAACTGACTTGACAACTTGGGTGTTATGCATTCTTGGTGCTCTACCAGAGATGGTGGCTACAGAACCTACACTTCTCATTCTGCTGTTTATGCAAAAACATTGTAGGAGGCAGACTTGCTGGAGATTATTGCCAAAGTCAGTTTATTGCGCTAGAATTCAGTAGGAGAAAACTTGTTCAATGACTATGCTAAATGATCTGCAATGGCTTAAATATGATATGTCCCCCACCAGCTCATGGTTTGAAAGGTTGGTAACCAGGCAGTGGTACTACTTAGGGGGATTTGTGGAACCTTTAGGAAGTGGTGCCTAGATAACAAGAAGAATTGTGCTGGATCATCTGGTCAGTCAGATCCAGCATAATTCTTGTTATCCAGTTGCCCCTTTCGGTGTAGATCTGCTCCAGTCTCCTTTGAAAGAGTGCTACAGCTAGAGAGACAGCCCTGGTGGTTGTATAAATTAGCTGGAAACATCTTTGTAGCCTTTTTCTGGCAAGAAGTGACCCTATCCATCTTAATGCACCCTCTGAAACATAAAACCAGTGCACAGCACCCTGTTCCAAGAATCACATCATTTTCATCAACATCTTACCAGTGTGCTGCCATCAGTCCAACGAAAGTCATGTTCGAACATCTTATCATTGAGGCCTATCCACTGGTAGTCATGACCCACACCTAAGTGATGTAAAACAGATGTTTTTATTACCTTTCCCACATATGGATGGGAACATGTCAAAGAAAGTTATTTTTCAGAGTGAATTATGCATCTCTTCTCTGGTTTGATTTTTACTTAGGTGGTCATAAAAAATTTATCCGTTGTTCTTCTACTCAATGGCCATTAAACTATTTGGAAACACTGCGAAAGCATTAAAAAGCAGAGGCAATCATTTCCCAAGCAATTTACTGTAATTAAATATTTTTCTATTTTTACATATCCATTTACTTTCCTTGTTAATCTATGCCATTGGCAAAGATTCAATGGCCCAATGAAATGTACCAGATCTTATCCATTCTCCCCTCACTTTGGAAAACACGTCTTTTCTCAAAACATTATACACAATGAACACAAACACCAGATGGTACTGAAAAAGTATCCTCAAAAATATTTTCAATGACATGAGTCACCACCAACAAAATATCTTGCAATGGAGTTCAATGAACTCAGTCCAGATTACAAATTAACAATAAAGTTTCCAAATGATAGAAGGCATTGTAGAGACGCATTTCACTGAGCATCAAACATGTTTCATGAACAAAGAGGTCTACGCATTTCAAAATAAAAACTATGTGCCCTTCTCTTTGCTATGATTTAAGATATCCAAACACAGTCCTGGTATTAGGTGTTATCAACTTTTAATCACCACCTCTTCATGACCTTAACATGTAGCTCACTTCCTAAAATAATTAGAACCTTGACTGAGAACCAATGTGCATAGAGGACACATTCAGGGTGCTTTCATATTTGATTTTTAATTCAAAAGAAAAATAAAGATAAAAACTCCAAGCAACTTCTTGCTTAACTTTAGACAACATGTGAAAATATTCCTGATAGAAATAATGAAAGTAACTATGATAATAATTATATTGATACTTGATACT